ATAAAAACGAATTTTGGGGTTAGGCATTTGTAGATTCAGCTATGATGATCCATCCAAATCTATATCTGTAAATGCCTTCTTATGGAGAGGTTTGTGTTTGGATTATTTGGTTATGAGTTGCACCCAGAATATCAAAACTTAAAGAATTTGTAAAGGACAATGGACTCTCTGTCCCACTATACTGGATCGTCTCCTTCTCCTACTTTGTTTACAGTAACCAAAGAGACACGGGATAAATGCACTATTCATCTGTTTCCCCCATAAGACTAGAATAAAATAAAATAAAAAACTTTCACAAATATCTCTCACAATTAGCTCAATTTTATATTTTCAATATACACGATATCTGCTTTTCTTTTTTTGGAGCACTTAATAACATGTGGTGTTAAAGGCTATAAACATTAAATAGATTTTAAGTGAAAATAAACCAATAATAGGGTTGATAGAGCAAGGAAATGGCAAACAAAGACATGATCACGCTACACGTAAAAAACAAGGGTGTTGCATTCACTAGCTGAGGTCACATCCTAATTTAGGTATGACAGTATTTCTAGTAGATAATGGTGATGGCTGCACTTACAGCCACACAGTGGTAATAGCGACCATATTAGTGTAGAGGCTTATACATAACATCACATTCACATTTGTCTTTCTTCAAATAGGAATTAATTTACAGGACAATGAATAATGAATGACTGGATTTGGTTTAGAATTAGTTCACATATCCACATAACACAGTATTCTAAAATAAGTGTGCACATTTTAGTTTACACTATTATGTATGATTTAATCTTTGATTTCTGAGTTACTTTAGTTGCAGCTGCTCCTGTCCCTTAATTGAGGAGCCAACAGGTGGAAAAGGGGCAGAACAAGCCTTGATGGAAAGCTGCAAATTGGCTCATTTCATAATTTAGGACCATGGGGGGGAGTTGGAGTTCATTGTGTTAGTTTCAGTTAGGTTTTGTGTGTTTTACCCCTTTTTGTGTTTTTGTGGGTGATCAGCCATTGTTAAGTTTCCTCTACATTGTTTCTCAAATTGCCTTATCTGAAAATTTAAACTACAACAAAAAGCCAGAAACAATGTGACAAGCTGAAGTTCTCTGCTTTATATATTCATCCATTTTCTGGCTGGTGCCTATCCCAGCTCACTTAGAGGTGGGTTACACCCTGGGCCATGACAGAACATAACAAGGCAGACAACCACACCCTCCCATACTTAAAATGACCAATTAACCAAATAGGCATCTTTTGACTGAGGGACGAAGCCAGAGCACCTGCAAATAACCAGATGCAAACAACATGTAAACTCAAATAAAAGGTGCGGTCTGAGCAGATTCGTATCATTAACCTTGTTGCATGGAAATGACCAGTGATGGGAATGCGTTACAAGTAACAGCGTTACT